ATATCATGTACGGTAGGTATAGGGGCCTCAATGTACAAAAACCTAAGTCTGGTCAAATACATGCATACCCTAACAGGTATAAACATGCAGCCAATCTTTGGATAGCTAAGTAAGAAAATCAATATCTTATAGTAGTAACTAATCTCTCGGCTTTCATTTCTTCGAAAGTTGGGAAATTTTGCTGGTAGGGTTGGGAAAATTTGGATTCCCCTTCCCCCCCCCTGGTTTTTATTTTCGCTACGGCCTTGGGAGTGGAGGTTAATTTTCTCCGTGACAAAATATTCCAAAATATGAGATTTGTTCTGTATGCATCAGTGAATATATTCGAAGAAAAAAATCCCCACTCACGGATGATGTGACGGAATTATGGATTTTTTTTTGAGGTCATTGAGTAAAGTCATTGCTGGCCACGAATTTGATCCTCATTTTGGGAGCCGCTGATAGTCGGGTCTCGTGCGACGCTTCAACAAATCCATGGCTAGAACTCGTGGCTGCTTTCACAAATTTTCATGTACTGGTACAATTGGGAACATCTGTGTCATGGATGGCATTGGCCACACAGCTTCTATATCTGTGCATGACATTGCCGCTTTCTTGGTATTTGCATAATCACCAGCAAATAATATGGTGTCAACGTGACTACAAACTTCACTGTCTCCGGCCATAAAAGTACGCTTCCATATTTTGCTATGATGCACCAAACATCTAAAGGTTTCGCATTTGCTTTCTGTGAATGCTTGTCCTGAAAATAAGTTATTGAGATTAGTATCTACTGTAAGAATCACTCTGGGATTTTCAAATGAAAAATTGAATCATTCTCTTGATCAACAAAGAAGACAACACACATAACAAGTCACAGGTATAGTCGATCGTGAATACACACAGTTTCACGTGTATCGCTTCTTCGATGAATTAACTATGCCATTAGGAAATCAGAAAGTTAGCATACTGCTAGCTTAGAAAAACTCACCTGTCCAACAAAAATGATTAAATTGTTCTCAATCTTTGTTCCCACCTTCACAACGATGTCAGATTCAATATATTTATACAATTCCAAACCTTTATATGCCTTCATCTGCACATGTGAATAAAAACTGTGGGTAAAAACCAAATACGAAGCAATATCCACATATGCAACTGGAGGAACACCATCAATTGAATAATCCAAATTAGAAACATTCAATGAGAAAGGGTCTAAACCATTGACCAATCTCAACTTCATTATATATCTGTAACAATTATAAAAATGTAAACAGATGATGGTATATTTTTTCGAACATACCGTTTAGCAACGTCTCTGCTGTTCAGCAATAGTGATTTCAAGTATTCACTTTCCATTTTGATTGAATTTAAACACCACAAAAACTCCAAAAATGTGAAGAAACACTCCACAATAGCGAACGACACCAAAACCAATGATATTGATACTCTTACACAGCATAGGTATGCTGTGACTCTTATGACAATAATTAGATTGTTTGCCCTACGCCGCCATATTGGGTCACGTGGTTTGGATTGCTCTATGAATGAATACAACCTCACTACAAAACACCTTCAAAATTTTGTTTCTTTAGGTTAGATATAAAAATATCGCTGTCCTAAGAACTGTCAATAATTTAAGAAGAGAGTTCCAATAACTCAATTCCTACCCTGACATTTAAGGTTTTGCTTTATTTAAATGCTTAACTTTATTAAGGCATTACCTCAAAGGACGGTGTTCAATAATGAATACGTTTCCAATCATAGTTGATGTGACGTCATCGTTTCAAAGCCAGAACCACCGTATATAGTGTTTACTTCTATACGGTACCAGAAGACCAGAACGAATGTATTTGATTCACAGACGAATATGAGCGCCAGAAAACGCATTTGGTTTTGAAACGGAATTTGAGGTTATATTACGTCAGTTGTGAGTTTCTGCTTTATTTTGATAGTTATAGTTTATAAAGTGCTGAAAACTTTGTATCGAATACGTTGTAAGGATGTATAAAATGAAGCTGGGAAATTTTATCCGCTTCTAATTTAGGCTGGAGAAAATTGAAAAGTTTTTTTTTCGTTGGATTTGACATCTGACACCAAATGAATCATTCCATTTTTTTTATATTACATAAAAATAATTGTTTCTAATAAGAAGTATCCTATGTTACTTCCAATACCTCCAAGAACATGTGACAAAATTTCATGAAGATAGGTTGGCTATTTTTCGCGTGAAATCGTAACAAACAAAGTTACATTCGCATTTATAATATTAGTAGGGATGTCGTGACTGTGAATAATACAGTGCGACGGTATTACAGTACAACGTTTGCAGTTTGTATCATATCTCAATAATATATTAAATAACAAAAGATGTGATTCATGAAGTTATGTTTATGGTATTTCTTAATATTCATCTATCAGTCGTTTCATAACCAACTTTGAAGGATATTTTGGTCTTACTATTTATAATGATGACAAAATTTTGTTATATGCATCATAAAGTGAATATATCACATCCCACATAGCCCAAGTCTTTGTTTCAATAACTTTCCAAAATCTATATCACATAAAATGAACATTCTTTACCTTCCGCAGTAATTTCTTCCGCAAAGCCTAATCAGCAAATTATTACATCACTATAGCGAGAAATTTCATATTTGTACAATGAATATATTTGTACAATTTCCATTCTCGATTATCATTAGATCTTTTCCTTGATTTAACAGATAGAACAAATCAGTATTCATTTCACCAATAGTTTTCTCTTCAATAAACATTGGATTTGCCCGTCCAATATTTATAATCTGTGGAGAATTATCATTCGATATGATATAATTGACAATAACTAATATAAAATTGAACAATAATCTCACATACCTCAAAGGTAGGCAGCCGAGCGGTTCGACGTGAGTGCTTTGTATTCACTCTCTAAATCTACTGATGTGACTGAACGATCGATTTACACTTGCTATCGTCCAACCCGTGTTAGGAATCACCCGTTAAAAGGTAAGACCTCGTTAGTCCTTAGCTCGCACAATTTTCGACTTCCGATGGTTGTCCTTCGTAGGGATGCGATAGCTGGTTCACGGAAAAAAACAACATATTCTTAATTCGTGTTATTGGAACTTATTTCCAATATTTTCAGTATTTGACTTACTACTGAAAAAATACAGATACTATAACAATACGTTAAAATTCACTGACTAGGATCAAGTGGTCGGTTGAATACATTTTGGGACGAAAAGAGTTGAGATAATTCTCGACATAAACCACTGTCTGTTACTTTTTGAACATTTTCCCCCCGTATCATGATGCAAAGACACCAATTAACATCTATTCTTATACTTAAATTAAACTCTCAACATTTCTCAATACTATGTCGGAAAATAATGTCTTATTGCATTTTATGCACTGATATCAACATGAATAGAAAATAAAAAAGAACTGAGACCACGTATATTCAATTCGTGAGCTAATTAATGACTGTTTCAATAGGTATATCTTGTCGTACAGACAAAACTTTTTCTAGGTATCCTGCACTCTCTGCACTGAGCAAGAAGCGCGTGAATAATAATCATAAATCAGTCATTTATCCAGCTATTTGATGAATTCAAAGTTTGTCATGTAGTTGATACAGTCATTACTTCTTATAAAAATTGTAATAGAAAGAACATTTATACCAATGATATTCCTGCATAAAATTGTCAATGATTTAACTTAAAAAATCTATTTGTTTTAGTTATGATATTCACCAATATTACACTAGATATAATCTTGACATACATATACATAGAACTAATACCAAAAACAGTATGAACTCATTATATGTCAAAGGTTTTGATACGTACAACAAATTGCCCCATTCGATTGAATTAGCATCAACCTTAAAAAGGTTTAAAACTGAACTACCGCAACATATTTCTAACAAATATAATTGAATTGATTACAAATTATATGATAAGTCATGATTTTTGGAATACTATTCATTTTTTTAGGAAGACAAATAGTTTTTATTGATATTCTCATAGATTTTGAATCTGTTAACACGTTTTTAGATAATGGAAGTCCGAACTTTCAACATTCATATATTGGGTTATTGGCTACTTTGAGTTCAATCTTTTGGTTACTTCTGTCACTCCAGCAGTTCCAGTATAGAACAAGTTACCTAATTCGTCCAACTCAGGTTGCGTGTAGATACAGAACACCCTAACTAGGGTGTTCTGTGGTGTAGAGGTATGTCATAAAATATTATTCTGTGGTCTAGTGTTTTATGTTCCATGATTTTACAGTAGTCAGCCATTCTTCGTTCGTGATATTCTTGATAACCGTAGCTGAAGTTAAGTGAAGTCGTTCTTGCAATTTGCAATATTCGTATATTTTAGGCTGAAACTGAAGTGTAAGTTATCAGAGTTTTAATATTATTAATTATGGCATTCAGTTGATCCAAACATATTCCCCAATATATATAATTCAATTCAAGAACACATTGGTTTGTAGGCGCCATGATAACGTTCGTACATGTATGACTGATGTGATTGTATGAGCAAACATCCCTGACATCGATCGTCATAGTGGAAGCCGTGCTCGGTTACTTCGCTATTTATTCTGATTTCTGGTGAATAATACGGTTGTGGTTACAAAAGTTGAGTGAAATTTAGTAATTGTAAGTTTTATGTTTAAACCATTGTAATATTTCATGTCCATTTTTGTTTTCCGTTCGAGGTGGCCGTTTTTCGAAATTGTGCAAGTATTGACCTTCATCTAATTTTGATCGAATTTAAGAGGAAAATTCACAATTTTTCATTCAAAACTACACATTTTCTTAATACATTGATTTCAATCTGGTAATTGAAAAAAATTTAAAATTTCTGAGTCTCGATTGCTTCCATTTCAGAAAATAGTTCAAAGACGAATTGTTGAAAGTGATTCTTCCGAATTATTTGAAAAAAGTCATTCGTTAATTCATGTATGTTTGGATAGATGGCTAATTTTAAAAAATTGATTCATAGTCATACTACGCATTACATTAGAAGGTGTGGCTGACGCCATATTGTCATTTAGTCCGGCCGGCTCCTTATTCCTTGGTGCTTGGCGAGTACAGGATTGGGAGTAGTGGAAGCATTCTATCTTTTTCCATCTCGCTCATTCCATCAGCTCTGTGATCTCACTCAGCATTCTCAACTAGAAAGGGTGGTATAAAATTGCGTTTTTGGGCATATTATCTGAAGGTGCTTTATATGGTTCTATTTATAGAATTCTGAATTCTGTAAAACTTGGTGTATTCCTGAGTAATATTTGAATTTAGTGTAGTAGATTGATTATTTCCTCAATACTTTGAAGAAATAGTGGTGCCCTGCCTCAATTCCACTACTTATTTTTTATAAGTGATGAATATACATTTCATTTTTCAGATTAGTATTAGACGAAAATGTCTGCTCCTGACAAAGATGAATTGGTTCAAAGGGCAAAGCTTGCTGAACAAGCTGAGCGATATGATGATATGGCTTCAGCTATGAAGTCTGTTACAGAAACTGGGGTAGAACTCAGTAACGAGGAAAGAAATCTTCTCTCTGTGGCCTATAAAAACGTTGTTGGAGCCAGAAGATCGTCGTGGAGGGTAATTTCTTCAATTGAACAAAAGACTGAAGGGTCAGAACGGAAACAGCAAATGGCCAAGGAATATCGAGAAAAAGTGGAAAAAGAACTGAGAGAGATATGTGATGATGTTCTCGTAAGTTGACTCTAATTTGTATTTATCAGATAGATCTTCATGGAGGTTGAATGTGGGTGGATGTTGAAATATTATTTTGTCTACCACTCAACAGCATTTTTGTAAAGGGGTTTCATTTGTCCAAACTTAATAACTCTGGTGAAATTATACAGATATGTGATGGAATTAGTATGAATTAGTATTAGTATGCATAGTATGAAAACGCTTGATGAAGTTATTGTAAGCAAAACACTTGTTGCGGTTTTGTGGTTTTGTAAACTGTCTACTGGAAATCGCACACTAAAGTGTGACTTGAATAAGTTATTCGGATACTTACCTCAAGCTTTAAAAAAATGTTATTGGACTTGTATATTTTTGTCCCTTAATAATAGATCTGGAAGTCAAAACTGGGCACTCCTGTCTACGAACATCAAAAGTGAAATTGTTGAAATTATCTACATCAGAAACTAATTTTGTTATTGAAACCACGTAAAATAGCAATTTCTTATCAACATCTATTGCCAACCATTATTCATTTATATTCAAATATTTTCACACAATGAAAACTTCTGTTTCGCCAAATGAATTTTTTACATGTTCTAAATGATACTTTCACTTAACAAATTTTTTTTATTATTTTTTGACAACATCACAAGATGTCAAAGTTCAAAATTGTTGATGAGATAAGTTCGCAACCATTGTGGTAGGTACATCAAGACAGTTATAGAGTCAGAAATCATTTATTAATGAAGAAAAGAGAATTGAAACTTTCTATGTTTTTTACCACTTTTATTTGTAATTAACGTTACTGCAGTTTCGTCCTATAATGACATTTTCAAACTTATACAATAAACTAACAATGGTTGATTACATGTCCTTATATAGCACTCCTGTAGGTAATACTCAATCAAGCCAAGTATCTCTATTATTACCTACAGGGTGCTATATAATTGTTAATGTAATCAACCATTGTTATTTTAATGTATAAGTTTGAAAATGTCATTATAGAACAAAACTGCAGTAACGTTAGTTACAAATAAAAGTGGTAAAAAACATAGAAAGTTTCAATTCTCTTTTCTTTATTATGATCTCCTACCACGTAGTAACGGTGTAGCCGTTACTACATCCATCAATTTATTGAAATCATTTGTTGTCATAAAAGTTTAGGTTTGGTTGACAAAGCAGGCTTAAGAACTGAAACAATCTGAAATTTAACAGTAAAATAAAGTCAAGATATATATCTGTTTTAAAATTTGTTATTCCGTTAATCAGTTGTTGCCCCATACGAACGACAACTCTCAGAAGTTGAGAAATTGTGTGAGCTAAGGACTAACGAGGTCTTACCTTTTAGCGTGTGATTCCTAACACTATATATGGTTCTAGCATATTCCAAAAAGTCTATGGTAAAACTGATAAAAAAATTTATAAGTTGCAATTATGAGTTGCGAAGTCGTCCAAAAGAAATTTGTCAGTATTATAGTAAGCTTTATCTAGCAGAAGTTTTTTTAATCTTTTTTGCTGTACTCTTTTGTAGCAGGTTAACTTTCTGGTCGAAAGGGGGAGATGATTGAAATATTTTTTGCTGTTATTAAGAATCCAGTTTTTGATTTGTGTTGTTAACGGGATAGGAAAAGGAATATTGAATGTGAGACGAGTAGCATAACTTTAAGTTGAGTTTGAGATGTTATCTTTGTGTTTTTTGTGCATTAGGCAGACTTTCTAAAATAAAGAGGCAATAGACTGTTAAGATGCGATGGTTTAATTGAAAATTGATTCCAGCAGTTCTATCGCCAACAGCATATGCAGGAAATATTTCTGTGAAGATTCCTGTACTGACACCCTGTTAGCAAGGGGCTAATAGGTGTCAGACCATTAACCTACAGTGTAGGTAAGTCGAGACTGGCCTGAACAAATTCTTCTTTTAGTTGATCTCTAATATCTTTGAAAATATTCATTCTAATTACATGCTGTAAAGGGCCATATTGATCTATATTGAATACACAATGTAATCAAGGTACTTAATTGGATAAGGATTAATGCTGTATTGCTTAAAATCACTTCATAAAAAATTGTTATTGTGGGTTATTCCTAATAGATAGACATATACCATCACAGACTTTTTTGTAGACCTTTTCAAGGCGCACAATTCTGTAGCACATTAATTTGATCTATCTCGGAGGGTTCAGTAAGCGTTTGCAATGTAAGTGCAAAAAATGTGTTTATTTATGACATCACATTAGAAACTTCTAAAATTATTGGTGTTTCTCTTCTATATTATGCACCTTATATACATATAAACCTTACTCTTGAATAACTCTATTGAAAAAAAAACTCATCAAGAACCGTTGCGTAGTTTTAAAGATCTAAGCACCCATAGGGACATACAGCGGAAAGCGACTTTGTTTTATACTATGTAGTGATACAGACTTCGCTCATGAAATTCTTTCAGGAGATTCAGGTATTCGTGCATAATTATTTATTATATCATGACGGGGTTATTTTTATACAATGTTATAAATTTTTCCTGAAAGGAAAGATATTTAGCTTCTTATAATTCAATGACATTCAAGAGGTAACATATTGTTATCAACAAAACGCCAGTTTGTGTTCTTGATTACATACAAAATTATTTACGCCTGCTTTGGGCTACGGATATCATCTTTTTGAATAGCATTTTGATTTGATAAATAACAACTAGAGAAACTAGCTCTGTTAGAAAAACCAGATAAATGTGCATTGACAACTAATGTTATGTATCCTGCAGTTATGTTCGTTAAGATGTTATCTAGACAATTTTTGAGTGTTGTATTTTCAGAAAACAATGTTTAGATTTATTCACCAGTAGAAGATCTATGAACTCATGAGGAATATTATCATCTTCATCGAATTTTAAATTAGTCACCATTTATTATCACCTCATACTTTTCACATTTCTCTAAATTACCGAACATTTTGTGAAACTTTGATCTCCATTTGGAGATCAAAGAATAGTAACAATAATGATATTTTTACCAGTTATTTCAATTACTGATTTTTCATAGGTAAGTTCAAATCAAGAACGATCTGTATTATAAAGTATCACCATAAATATAGAGTCCTCTACCAAAATTGTAATCCAGTTTCAAAACCACTGAAGCAGTATTTGAAAATCAGCTTTTGGTAACTGTGGTATCTATTGATGTCATAAATAGGTTATGCTTTCTGGTCAAGTTGATGGCTTTTATGTTTCATTCCAATGAAAATCGATATCAAATATAAATCATAGGAAATGACAAAACAAGTATTTCATCTACTTCTCTCTCCTCCATAAACATAAATAAAAAAAATTGTTATTTTTGCCCTTGATTTACCTGCGTAAAGGGTGTTTTGGAGTTATTTTTGGTAAAAAATCCTACCAATTAAGAAACTATTCATTGTATTTGAAAGATTACTTTCCCATTGACAGGATTTATTATCTGAAACTCTTACAAGTACTTCTCAGTAGAGCCAATTTGTTTTAGGTGACAGAGGGTCAGTATTTGTGTGGCCAGTCAGAGATCCTATTGACATTATTTTTTAGTTTATGGGACAAATGGTACCAGATTTTCAAATGACACCATCTGAAATCCTGCAGGTCCCACCCTGTGCATATATGGGCAATATACTCGAGGCTAGCGAAATGTGTTAATTGTTAGAGACTGCTCCCTTTTTATTAAATACAAAAGGATTAGAGTGCCTGAAGGACCTGATACACACTGATTCCCTGTGTAAATTGCTTTCTTTTTACCAAAAAAGTTATTGGCAAAAAAGGGAAGCTCTATTGAGGAAAATATGTGATTGAACAACTTTTTCATTTTGTGACTTGAATTATTTACTGTAGTGCTAAAAGAATTACTTTTATAATCTACAAACTAAAAATTATGATGTTGATAACTTTCGTTCTTCCGAATTTTGTTGGGGAACATTTTGTAAAACTCTGATTGGTTCATTGGGTTAAACATGTCATTTGAATTTTTACATGAAATAAATATCTTTTTTTATTATAGGGCCTGCTTGATAAGTACCTGATTCCCAAAGCTAGTAACGCAGAATCCAAAGTATTTTATCTCAAGATGAAAGGAGATTACTACAGGTACCTCGCAGAAGTTGCAACAGGAGATACCAGAAATAGTAAGTAGATAGAATTTTAGATCAATTTGTTCCTTTCAGGGGCAATAAAATTGATCAAACTGATCTACCTTATTGATACTATCCTCACGTCCTCATAGAAAATCACACAAATATTGTGAATGATGTTCAGTTATGGATATTTTATGAAAGCCTA